ATGATACACCGAGCTCAGACAGCGTAAACAAACTGAACAGGTTGTGGACGATCACTCGGTCAGGCGAAATAGACGGTATTAATACGTGTCCAGTTTTAGTTCATTCATGTACATTTGTAAGAGTTTGTGAAACTTTACCTTATAATATTTTTATTATTATCATAATAATTAAATCACGAAACAAATACTCTTACACTGTGTACAAGTTAGTACAGAATTATAGCTATAAAGTGAAGGCATACGAAAGGAATGTTTTTCTACAGTTATCCCTAGTAACAGGTGACGGGCTAGAGAAAACGTAATTCTTCCGACACTTCTACAAACCGTTTGGTAAACATCTCGTATATATTTGTATAAATTTTTATACTGTGGGTGCATGTATCATGTTTGTGTGTTATATAATGTGTTTCTTATATAATTTTGAAAAAATATCATAGATAGATTAAGGGAAATGTCTATATTAACGTAATATGCGACATTAATGCGCCCAAGAGATTATTATTATTACTATTATTATTACTATTATTATTATTATTATTATTATTATTATTATTATTATTATTATTATTATTATTACATCAAGAGTAGAGAGACTCTTAGTGATTTTAATGTGTACCTACATGCCAGCACAGTGTGTAAGTTTATTTAGGTACAGGTGTACACAAGTTTAATTATCAAGTACAATACATATAAAATATAAAATAACTTTAAAACACTTGAAATTTTGGAAAGTTTCCAGACATAATAAGGAGATGTGCTCAGGGAGAATGTAAACAAACTCGGTGGGCCGCTGTGACCGTATTAGAAAGACAGGTGGGGGAGCCATATAGCGAGTTTTGGTCATAATTCGAAATGTCCGTATTAGCGGAACGCCGTAAAGTGAAACGCCGTAAAGCGGGGCCCTCCTGTACTTGTAAATGTACAAAAGAATTCAGATGGTTCTGTGGAGTTAATATTTTGAATGTTCTTTTTTTTTCTCTCATATTTTTAGTCAAACATTTTCCAATGATTTCTTCCCTTATATAGTAATCTTTATACAAAGCCCATTTTATATTCAGTGTTTCCGGTAGGACTTGAACTAACATGTCTATTCAGACTTAATTTCATCACTTGGCCTCTTTGTGTTCTGATGGGAGTTTCTGTACTGAGGCATAACTCTTAACTCTTTTAGTTTGTCTCATTTTCCACATACATAATTCAGAGGTGATAATTATTAAAATATTTATCACATGTTAAACTGTTATGATAGTTTGACATTTGAGCTTATATTAGCCTCTCACCTCAAAAGAAAGCCTTCACTATTTTTATCTTTTCTCTATGAATGTTTTCCAAGGATGATCATGGGTTGTCACATTACTGCAGTACCTTGTATATTGGTTTATCTTTGTGGTACTCTACAATATTTTTAGTTAACTAATTTTCCAGCCATCAGTTGTGGACAAGCTGTTTGTGCTGGACGTATCACCTTTAAGTATTTCAAAGGATATTGCAACTGGGTGTTAGTGGACTGGTGTGGGTCACATCCTGGGTATTAGTGGACTGGTGTGGGTCACATCCTGGGTGTTAGTGGACTTGTGTGGGTCACATCCTGGGTGTTAGTAGACTGCTGTGGGTCACATGCTGGGTGTTAGTGGACTGGTGTGGGTCACATCCTGGGTGTTAGTGGACTGGTGTGGGTCACATCCTGGGTGTTAGTGGACTTGTGTGGGTCACATCCTGGGTGTTAGTGGACTGGTGTGGGTCACATCCTGGGTGTTAGTGGACTGGTGTGGGTCACATCCTGGGTGTTAGTGGACTGGTGTGGGTCACATCCTGGGTGTCAGCAGACTGGTGTAGGTCACATCCTGGGTGTTAGTGGACTGGTGTGGGTCACATCCTGGGCGTTACTGGACTGGTGTGGGTTGCATCCTGGGTGTTAGTGGACTGGTGTGGGTCATGTCCTGGGTGTTAGTGGACTGGTGTGGGTCACATCCTGGGTGTTATTTTACTGGTGTGGGTCGCATCCTGGGTGTTAGTGGACTAGTGTGGGTCACATCCTGTGTTAGTGGACTGGTGTGGGTCGCATCCTGGGTGTTAGTGGACTGGTGTGAGTCACATCCTGGGTGTTAGTGGACTGGTGTGGGTCACATCCTGGGTGTTAGTGGACTGGTGTGGGTCACATCCTGGGTGTTAGTAGACTGGTGTGGGTTGCATCCTGGGTGTTAGTGGACTGGTGTGGGTCACATCCTGGGTGTTAGTGGACTGGTGTGGGTCACATCCTGGGTGTTAGTGGACTGGTGTGGGTCACATCCTGGGTGTTAGTAAACTGGTGTGGGTTGCATCCTGGGTGTTAGTGGACTGGTGTGGGTCACATCCTGGGTGTTAGTGGACTGGTGTGGGTCACATCCTGGGTGTTAGTGGACTGGTGTGGGTCACATCCTGAGGCAAAACTGACCTAATTTTCGGGAAATGCTCAGCATAACAAGGGGCTTTCTATATAGTAGTATGTCATTGATGTCAGCTATGGTCTGTATACCTTGTACATGCACTTGTATACCTTGTACATGCACTTGTATACCTTGTACATGTACTTATAGTAAATAAAGATTTAATTTTATTATATCACATGTATTATTATATCACTATACAAAGTTTGTACAGATATGGATGACATTTGGGACCCTAATGGAAAAAAGTCACTTTGACTTTTTTGTAAAGTAAAAGGACACAAGTGCAACTAATGTGACATTTTATTGTGGCAACGTTTCGCTTGACAAAGCTCCTGGAGAGCGAAACGTTGCCACAATAAAATGTCACATTAGTTGCACTTGTGTCCTTTTACTTTTCATATTGTCGGTAATTCTACCAACATTGACTTTTTTGGGTTATCCCAGGTAATGTACACATGTATCATAATTTGTGTAACTGTATTTATGTTTAATTGTACCAGAATAAAGTTACAAGGTGTGTATGCAGAAAACCCCTTTATATGCAGAATATTTCAGGCAAACTTAGGACTAACTTAAGTTTAATGAAACAATGACAGAGTGATTTTATATACAATCTCTTAAGTTGTTGTAAATATAAATTTAGGAGTTACAATGAATCCAAAATAATTGAATATCCTGTTAGTACCTGGCATTTACCTGGAGAGGGTTTCGGGAGTCAACGCCCCTGCTGCCCGGTCTGAGATCAGGCCTCATGTTGGATCAGGGCCTAGTCAACCAGGCTGTTATTGCTGGCCGCACGCAAGCTGACGTACGAACCACAGCCCAGTTGGTCAGGTACTGACTTCAGGTGCCAGTCCAGTGCCTTCTTGAAGACAGCCAGGGGTCTATTGGTAATTACCCTTATGTATACTGGGAGGCAGTTGAACAGTGTTGGGCCCCTGACACTTATTGTTGTCTCTCAGTGTACTCGTGGCGCCTCTACTTTTCATCGGGGGAATGTTGCATCTCCTGCCAAGTCTTTTGATTTCATAGGGAGTGACTTTCGTGTGTAGGTTTGGTACATTGTTTTAAGAATTACAAGTTTGACTGTGATTATGGGTAATTAGGATTCTAGCATATTAATGTAAGTTTATTTAGATACAGGTGCACATAAGTACAATTATCACACATAGTAATATATGTGTAAATTACTTAGGATAACCCCAAAAAAAAGTCAGTGACTTTATTTCCAATGGAGTCTTTGTAATTTTTTTTTACAGCCTAGCTGTAAGCATTTAATAAATTTTCATTTAGGCTTAGGGTAAATAATAAATATATATACATATATATATTTTTTTTAAATTGCCTTGATGGCAGCCAGCAGTAACAGCCTGGTTGATCAGGCTCTGATCCACCAGGAGGCCTGGTCACAGACCGGGCCGTGGGGGCATTGACCCCCAGGTAAACTCCAGGCACACAGATATCATGAATAATGTGGTACCTGTAGAAGGAAGCTGTCCACCCTCTTGAAAATTTATATCTTCAGTCTGGCAGTAATTTTTTATTTCTGTTTGTAATATTAACATATAAGGGTCATGTTAGGATATAAAAGACTAGATAATGAATGTACTTTGCAACACAAACAGGGAGAACAAAGACCAAAGTTTACATTGCAAAGTGATCACTGCTGAAAAAAAATAGATTGCAAGAATGCTTTTTACATAGTGGTAGAATAGTCAAAGTCAAAAAATTTATCTCCACATGATAGGATGTACAGAAATGTGTGATATTTGGTTGTGCATGCAGAAAGCTCATGGTTATGCAAAACATTTTAGGCAGTGGAATTGGATATAAGAGGAGGTAGTAAGTGGTACCAGGAACCTGTAAAACCAGTATATAAGAGTTGAGAGTACTAGGAGCTGTGGAAAAAACTTTTTTGTTTATATAGGCCTGGTCACAGACCAGGCCGCAGGGGCGTTCACCCCCAAAACCCTCCCCAGGTATACACCAGGTAATGTTGCTCAACCTAACTTAAGCAACACTTTCAGCTGTTTAGGTTGGGTTAAGTTGGGTTATGTTATTGAATTTAATTATCAAGATCAAGCTTCTTTCATTTTTGTCAAAATCTTGCTGTTTCCATTGCAAAACCCATCTCATAAGAAAATTTACATTAATAAATGATATTCTTATTTTTGCCTCTTCTTCTAAATAAACAATTTCCAGAACAAAGAGATATTATTCCTGTGGGCTGAATAGCATAGCTGTTATTTATATATTGTAGTAAACAATGACCTTCTAATCTTATATTTACATTATTGTGTTCTTTACTTTCCATTATTTGTTAATTTTCTGAATTATACAATTTTGCTAATCAATTTTCAAAATGCATTAGCAGGTAAAACTGTGATTTTGGCTATTCTTTGTTAATTCATGATTAATAATTAATAAATAATTGTATGAATAGTAATAATTAATAATTATTATTAATTTATTAATAATAATTAATAAATAATCGTATGAATAGTAATTTAAATAAAATATATATCGAACATAATGATTGTACCATTATGTACATATTCTACTGTAGCTTCTCATTTAATTTAGTATGCTAATTTCTTTTTTATTTCAAATTATAGATGGTCAGGTATTGACTAATACCAATACTCATTTGTGCTTTATAGTTATCTGTTTACAATAATGTTTTATCACTGATTTCATCATTGCTTAGTTAATCTTAAGTTAATTTTAAGCCAGCCCGTAATGCTATGCATATAAGTGGCTTTGGCATGCTGCTCTTACCTGTATTTTTTGTACCTCTGTATGTATGCTTAAATTACTAAATAAAAAAAAAAATATTTTAGCGAAGATGGGAGCGTCATCACTAGCAGAGGTGGCAGCCACTTTACCAAGTGCTCTCACTACAGGTATGTAGCTACAGCAGCAGAGCTGTGCATGTGGGTCCCATCTTTATGAATATATTAATACACCCTCTCCTCACTTAGCGATGTACAGTGGAACCTCAAATATTGAACTTAATCCGTTCCAGGAGCTAGTTCTAAATTCTAAAAGCCTGAAAAGCGAAGCAATACTTCATACAAGAAATAATGGAAATACAATTAATCCGTTCCAGAAACCCAAAAATATTCACAAAAATACATTTTAGAGAGATTAATTATAGTTTTGCATAAAAACACAACAAATATAGTCCCCCAATTATGTATTAATAAATTTAAATAACATAAAAACATTTTTAATCCTTATTGAAGATGGATTGCCTGAAGTAGGGAGGAGGAAAAGGGATTGGGGTTATTTTTTAAAGGAAGAGAGATTCCCCTCCAGAGAACTTCAGTATCAAGCCCTCTCTGGGTTTACTTCCCATCTATTTTAAGCCACTGGGCCACCTTGAGATCACTGGACCCCAGTTCTCCCCAAAAACTGTCTACGTTCCTCTGTTTCTGTCTCACAAAATAACTGTCTAAAAGTCCTTGTTTCTGTCTCAAAAAAATAACTGGTCTACAAATCCTCTGTTTTCTGCTCCACAAAATAACTGTCTACAGTCCTCTGTTTCTGTCTCACAAAATAACTGTCCACAGTCATCTGTTTCTGTCTCACAAAATAACGTCCTAAGTCCTCGTTCTGTCTCACAAAAAACTGTCTACAGTCCTCTGTTTCTGTCTCACAAATACTGTCCACAGCACTGTTTCTGTCTCAAAAATAACTCCACAGTCATCTCTTTCTGTCTCACAGAATAACTGTCTACAGTCCTCTGTTTCTGTCTCACAAAATAACTGTCTACAGTTGTCTGTTTCTGTCTCACAAAATAACTGTCCACAGTTGTCTGTTTCTGTCTCACAAAATAACTGTCCACAGTTGTCTGTTTCTGTCTCACAAAATAACTGTCCACAGTTGTCTGTTTCTGTCTCACAAAATAACTGTCCACAGTCCTCCTCTGTACATCCTGGCAAGCTCAACAAGTCTCACATCACTCTCATACTTCTGTATTATTTCCTTCTTCACATCTATGGTGTTTTTCACTTTCTTTGCCACAGGGGTACCACTAGCAAGTTTCTTTGGGCCCATGGCAGCATATTTCACAGTCCCACAAGCACTAAACACAATGAAATAACCGTAAAATGTTTGAATGATAGTGAAGGTTAGTGTTCACTCAAGCATCAACAAAACCAGACTGGCTCATGGCGCCTGCACGGGGACGCAGACAGAGCGAGCTGCCGGATGGGTCCAGTACCCGGCGGTTCGAAAATAGGGCTGAGTTTGATAATAGGGACAAAGTTGGTTCGAAAAAGCGTTCGATTTTCGAAAAGTTTGATAAATGATACGTTTGAAATTTGAGGTTCCACTGTACGTGTACTCATTTACCGGCGCCTCGGACTTACAACGGGCTCTCTGACCAGTATTTATAACTAAATAATATATATTAGAGCTGATTTTCTCTATTCTGTTTATTTCAATATACACAGTACACTATTGTATACACATTTAAAAATACACCATAAATGTTATAAATGGTGCAAAGGTGACATAAAAACAATATCAAAGATGGTTGACACAAACCCACTACCATTATAGTATGCTCCTCACTGAGCAACAAATTCATTTAACGACACGGTCTTAGGAATGGAACTCCGTCGTTAAGTGAAGAGAGGCTGTAATATAATTTTTTTTAAATTTTCAGTAAATACAGTGGACCCGTATCTTACGAACGCATCGCGTTACGTTAAATCTGCCATACAAAGCATTTGAATGCAAATATTTTGCCTCACCTCACGATAAAAAACTCGCCTTACGTGATTTGTCCGGGACGCGCCCCACGTGTGGCCTCAGCGCCAGTGTTTACAAGCCAGCCAGTGCAGTCGCATCTGCACATACATTCAGTACATTTTACATTATTCCAGTGTTTTTAGTGCTTTTAACTGCAAAATAAGTCACCCTGGACCCCAAGAAAGCTTCTAGTGCCATCCCTGGAGTTTACCTGGAGTTTACCTGGAGAGAGTTCCAGGGGTCAACGCCCCCGCGGCCCGGTCTGTGACCAGGCCTCCTGATGGATCAGAGCCTGATCAACCAGGCTGTTACTGCTGGCTGCACGCAAACCAACGTACGAGCCACAGCCCGGCTGGTCAGGAACCGACTTTAGGTGCTTGTCCAGTGCCAGCTTGAAGACTGCCAGGGGTCTGTTGGTAATCCCCCTTATGTATGCTGGGAGGCAGTTGAACAGTCTCGGGCCCCTGACACTTATTGTATGGTCTCTTAACGTGCTAGTGACACCCCTGCTTTTCATTGGGGGGATGTTGCATCCTCTGCCAAGTCTTTTGCTTTCGTAGAGAGTGATTTTCGTGTGCAAGTTCGGTACTAGTCCCTCTAGGATTTTCCAGGTGTATATAATCATGTATCTCTCCCGCCTGCATTCCAGGGAATACAGTTTTAGGAACCTCAAGCACTCCCAGTATATGAGGTGTTTTATCTCCGTTATGCGCGCCGTGAAGGTTCTCTGTACATTTTCTAGGTCAGCAATTTCACCTGCCTTGAAAGGTGCTGTTAGTGTGCAGCAATATTCCAGCCTAGATAGAACAAGTGGCTTGAAGAGTGTCATCATGGGCTTGGCCTCCCTAGTTTTGAAGGTTCTCATTATCCATCCTGTCATTTTTCTAGCAGATGCGATTGATACAATGTTATGGTCCTTGAAGGTGAGATCCTCCGACATGATCACTCCCAGGTCTTTGACGTTGGTGTTTCGCTCTATTTTGTGGCCAGAATTTGTTTTGTACCCTGATGAAGATTTAATTTCCTCGTGTTTACCATATCTGACTAATTGAAATTTCTCATCGTTGAACTTCATATTGTTTTCTGCAGCCCACTGAAAGATTCGGTTGATGTCCGCCTGGAGCCTTGCAGTGTCTGCAATGGAAGACACTGTCATGCAGATTTGGGTGTCATCTGCAAAGGAAGACACGGTGCTGTGGCTGACATCCTTGTCTATGTCGAATATGAGGATGAGGAACAAGATGGGAGCGAGTACTGTGCCTTGTGGAACAGAGCTTTTCACCGTAGCTGCCTCGGACTTTACTCTGTTGACGACTACTCTCTGTGTTCTGTTAGTGAGGAAATTATAGATCCATCGACAGACTTATCCTGTTATTCCTTTAGCACGCATTTCGTGCGCTATTACGCCATGGTCACACTTGTCGAAGGCTTTTGCAAAGTCTGTATATATTACATCTGCATTCTTTTTATCTTCTAGTGCATTTAGGACATTGTCGTAGTGATCCAATACGAGACAGACAGGAGCGACCTGTTCTAAACCCATGTTGCCCTGGGTTGTGTAACTAATGGGTTTCTAGATGGGTGGTGATCTTGCTTCTTAGGACCCTTTCAAAGATTTTTATGATATGGGATGTTAGTGCTATCGGTCTGTAGTTCTTTGCTGTTGCTTTACTGCCCCCTTTGTGGAGTGGGGCTACGTCTGTTGTTTTTAGTAACTGTGGGACGACCCCCGTGTCCATGCTCCCTCTCCATAGGATGGAAAAGGCTCGTGATAGGGGCTTCTTGCAGTTCTTGATGAACACGGAGTTCCATGAGTCTGGCCCTAGAGCAGAGTGCATGGGCATGTGGTAAAAAGGGTGAGAATTAGTATGGAATTGAAAAAAGAGATTAAGGAAATGTGTGCAAAATGGGTTGAACTGCAGACCTTTATGGATGAAAATCACCCTGACACAGGTACTGCAAGCCGTGTTGGCAACCTGTACAATGACAATGTTATGGCCCAATTTAGGAAAGTCTTAAAGGAATGGGAGGTACAGAGCTCTATGGACGGATTTGTTGTGTGACAGAGGTCCAGTGACTCTCAAGCTGGTCCTAGTGGCATTAAAAGAAGAAGGGAAGTAACCCTGGAAAAGGACTTGATACCTCAAGTCCTAATGGAAGGGATTCCCCTTCTAAACAATAACTTCCACACTCTCCCCTCCTCCCATCCCATCAATCATCACCAGATCTTCAATAAAGGTAAGTGTCATGTATTTTATTCTTAGTAGAGTAGTAATTGTGCATGTCTTCTTCAGTTTGTGTGTATTAAAATTAATATTTCATGTGGTAAAAATTTTTTTTTTTCATACTTTGGGGTGTCAGGAACAGATTAATTTGATTTCCATTATTTCTTGTGGGGAAATTAATTCGGCTAATGATAATTTCGGCTTACAATGAGCTCTCAGGAGTGGATTAATATCGTAAGGCGAGGGTCCACTGTATACTGAAAATTGAAAATTTCCCAGTATCCCTTTTTTTTTTTTTAGAAGTTATATCTGTAGCTGCTTATTATCCCTGTTGTAATATAGTATACTAAAAGATTTCTTAATTCACTTGTATGCTTATGACAGTGTAAGTCAGTTTTTTTAAGCACAGGTACACATAAGAACAGTTATCATACATAGTGTAAATTACATAGGATAATTAAAAAAGTCAGATAAGGTGACTTATTTCCATTCGGTATCTTTATTGTTTTCAGTCTTCCATCATAACGCATTTTTTTTTAAGGTCTGGGATTCATTTTGTAGCTTTTATTTGGACTTATTTTATCTGATCCAGTGCTCACTATCTTATTATCTTCCACAGTCACTTGTTCTTTTTCTGCACTTTGTTACTGACTTAGCACTTGTAAGAATGTTGGTAATGTACAGTATATACATGTAATTGGTTTAAGTTAGTGGCCAAGAAGCCTTTTTTAATCAAACTACAGTTGGGCTTCTAGACATTCTCCATTGCTATCAATTATGAGAAATGGTAATCTGGTGACTGCATGTTGGTCATACCTTGCATATCCATGGATGCTCACGGAGATCTGGTTATGCAGACAGTCCAGCATCACTTGATAGATTATGCCATTCATCAGAACCCCCTTATCTCATTTTACTTCAGCTCACTGACTTACTGTACTTATTTTGTCTGCCATCCTGTCTCAAATCTCAGTCATTAATACAGAGTTAGTCAGAATTTTTAAGCAAATTTATTTACTATACCAGCTCTGGCCTCTTTTGCCCTTGAGTTCATTCAACATTTATACAGCTTTATCTTAACCCTTAAACGGTCCAAACGTATATATACATTCACTCGCGTATTGCCCCAAATTTTTTGAGAGAAAAAATCTTTTTTTTTTAAAAGGAAAAAAGAGCACATGGTACCCAGGCATCCCCAATTATTTTAATATGGCGCACAGTGAGTGCGCACATCCATTCTCTCATGTCTAGGTGACTCAGGCTTTTCATGGCAATGTTGAATGAATGACAAAGAAAACGTATATATACGTTTGGGGCGCTACGCGCGTGAACGTATATATACGTTTGGACTGTTTAAGGGTTAAATGACAGCCACCTCTTCACCAAGCTTTGCTGAATACCCCACACTGGTTTAGTGCTTTTTACAAGTAAAGTATAATAATAATTAATTGAATATGGTGACACACTTATAAATTTCATATTTTATATATTTTTACTTTGCATGTATCCAAACACATCATATGAGACAGTATATTCTAGCCACAAAATAGAGCGAAACACCAACATCAAAGACCTGGGAGTGATTATGTCGGAGGATCTCACCTTCAAGGACCATAACATTGTATCAATCGCATCTGCTAGAAAAATGACAGGATGGATAATGAGAACCTTCAAAACTAGGGAGGCCAATCCCATGATGACACTCTTCAGGTCACTTGTTCTATTTAGGCTGGAATATTGCTGCACACTAACAGCACCTTTCAAGGCAGGTGAAATTGGAAATTGCCGACCTAGAAAATGTACAGAGAACTTTCACGGCGCGCATAACGGAGATAAAACACCTCAATTACTGGGAGTGCTTGAGGTTCCTAAACCTGTATTCCCTGGAATGCAGGAGGGAGAGATACATGATTATATACACCTGGAAAATCCTAGAGGGACTAGTACCGAACTTGCACACGAAAATCACTCACTACAAAAGCAAAAGACTTGGCAGACGATGCACCATCCCCCCAATGAAAAGCAGGGGTGTCACTAGCACGTTAAGAGACCATACAATAAGTGTCAGGGGCCCGAGACTGTTCAACTGCCTCCCAGCACACATAAGGGGGGATTACCAACAGACCCCTGTCAGTCTTCAAGCTGGCACTGGACAAGCACCTAAAGTCAGTTCCTGATCAGCCGGGCTGTGGCTCGTACGTTGGTTTGCGTGCAGCCAGCAGCAACAGCCTGGTTGATCAGGCGCTGATCCACCAGGAGGCCTGGTCACAGACCGGGCCGCGGGGGCGTTGACCCCCGGAACTCTCTCCAGGTAAACTCCAGGTAATGCAGAAATTATGTTAATTTAATTTACCCTCTGCCAGTTCAAGAAATCTAACTTATATTTTACTCCCTTATCCTTAATTAAGTGTATATGAAGTTTGTTTTATGATATGCATGGCATCACATGGTGTTATCTATTGCAGATGTCAACATTATGGCATCACATGGTGTTATCTATTGCAGATGTCAACATTATGGCATCACATGGTGTTATCTATTGCAGATGTCACCATTATGCCAGCAAAAAAAGAATTAGAAGAAGGGCAGTGGAGGCTGCCTTCCACAACTTCTGTGTCTTATTCAACACTCCTTCATCACCGCATGAGTATGTGGCTCCATAAGCCTAAGTTAATACCATTTTTTGCTGTCTGAAATTTTCAGCATCACATAGCAAATAAAAGCAGATAATGAACAGCCTTAGTTAATCAGGAATGAAATTCCATGGGACATGTATGGTGAGAGAGAGAGAGAGAGAGAGAATGAGTGAGAGAGAGAATGAGTGAGAGAGAGAATGAGAATGAGAGAGAGAAAATGAGAATGAGAGAGAGAGAGAATGAGAGAGAGAATGAGAATGAGAGAGAGAGAAAATGAGAATACCTCTTCAGGTGTTTTCTTTAAAATGTTTTAAATTTTAATAGTAACCTAAAATACATTAAGACTTTTTTTATATATGTATTTAGATTTCACCGTTTAGAGAAAACAAGTTTTCCAAGGTATAACGTCATTACAGTGTGCACACAGACTGGTCAGTTTTTCTTCTTGTAGCAACCTATAACTTCCATTGCTGTTTGTCCTCTTGTGGGTTTACTGAGTTAGTAATTGTTTTATTTGTATGCTAGATGCACATTTTAAATTTTATTGAACAATGTAGTATATTATTTTTCTATCTGACTGAATTGATGGCTTAGGTGAACAACGTAATAAGATAAAAAGTTTGCACCACAACATTTGACTTACAGTCACGGTAATAAAGGAGATGAGGATTGTGGTGAGGTTGTCTCCCGACTCCCTAACAGATGAGAAAATTACACTTGCTGCCACTAATGTGGATGAAACCATGAGTCTTCCTTTTTTAGCTTAAGACTATTTACTTTGTTTTATACTTAATTCTAACTATAGATTCACTACAAATCTTATGATTACAAGCATTGATCCTGATACCAACCTCTTATTTAATGACTTAAATGAATCAAACAGTTACTGTAATTACTACACTGCAGAACAATCAAAGGCACTTCTCAGTGCCAACAACAACATAACTATCTTTAACTACAATATCAGATCTTTAAGCAAGCATTACGATGACCTCATAGCATTACTAAATTCCTTACATGCCAATATGTCCATCATTACACTAACTGAAACCTGGCTAAAGCCTGATAGTACAGATGTCTATGCCATTCCTGGTTACACAGCCATACACAACTGTAGGCCAGACCAACAAGGGGGTGGCACAGCCATATACTACTCAGACCAACTAGAATGTATCACTAATACTTGCACAAGGGATGAACATGGGAATATATAATAGCTAAATTCAAATCCAAATACCTACAAAAACCTCTCACATTGATAAACATCTACAGAGTTCCACAGTCAAACATTAGCCAATTTAGTCAAAATCTAGGAAGTATGATAACTGATGCACGCATGAACAAAGATCACTTACTACTCTCAGGTGACTTCAATATAAATCTCCTGCAAGACCAGGACCCACACGTTTACTGAATCACAAACACAATGAGTAACTGTATGTTACTACCAACAGTAACAAAACCTACAGAGTTACAGAACTAGTGTTTCCCTACTTGACCACATCTGGACCAACACCATATCCCCTTTAAAATCAGGCATAATTACAGATAATACCACAGACCACTACCCTACTTTCCTCATAACAACTCTTGGTAAACTACCCCAAGACACTACTAAAGTCACCTTCAGACTTCACAATGAGGCAGCCATTAATAACTTCACAACAGCATTAGCAAACATTGATTGGCACACTGAGCTAGAAATCTATACAGATATTGACGAAATGTATTAATAATTTTCTAAAAAAGACCAATACCTCTATAACAAGCACTGCCCTAAAAAAACTAAACAAATGACAGCAAAGAGACTGAACAGTCCCTGGCTAACACCCAGCATTCTCAAATCCATAAATACAAAACACCAATATGAAAAACAGTACAGAATGGGTCACATAACCAGAGACCAAACAAAACGTTACTCGTCAATCCTAACCAGCCTGATAAGAAGGGCAAAAAAATTGTATTATGAGAACAGATTATCCAACTTACGAGGTGATATAAAAAAGACCTGGAAAACCCTATCAGAAATTCTGGGAACAAAAAAGATATCACGAAATAGCGAAATAAAATTAGCAAAATCAGATGAACCCCAACTCCCACCAACAGAAACAGCAAACAGACTCAATGATTTCTTCTCCACTATAGGACAAAACCTTGCCAATAAAATCCCAAGCTCAGATACCCCACCAAATGACTACCTCACCGGCAACTACCCGAACACACTGTTCCTAGCTCCGACTAACCCATACGAATCTCCCTTATTATCAATGCACTAAAAAACAAGGCAGGAGATTTAAGTACCTTACCACCCTTTATATACAAAAAAGTGTCACAAGTGCTATCTCCAATCATTGCAACACTCTTTAACAAATCCATCGAATCCTCCACCTTCCCTACAGTACTCAAAATAGCAAGGGTCACCCCGATCCACAAAGGAGGAGACCAAACAGAGTTGAATAACTATAGGCCAATATCCAACTTACACCCTCTCTCAAAAATCTTTGAAAAATTAATTCATAAACGAATCTACTCCTACCTTATCTCCCAAAATATACTCAACCCCTGCCAATTTGGATTCAGGCCTAATAAAAATACTAATGATGCTATTATACACATGCTAGAACATATATACACTGCAATAGAGAAAAAAGAAATCCCACTGGGATCTTCATTGACTTACGTAAAGCTTTTGATACAGTTGACCATGACTTGCTCCACGTAAAATTGTCACACTATGGTATAAGAGGGCACTCCCTCAACTACCTCAAGTCATACCTCAGCAACAGAAGCCAATATGTGTACGCAAATGGGGCAAACTCTTCTGCGCAACCAATTACAGTTGGTGTCCCACAGGGAAGTGTCCTTGGCCCTCTTCTCTTTCTCCTATACATAAATGACCTTCCAAATGCTTCGCAATTACTCAAACCCACACTATTTGCAGATGACACTACATACGTCTTCTCTCACCCGAGCCCAGTCACACTAGCCAATACTGTAAATACCGAATTACAGAAAATATCTACCTGGATGAGGACTAACAAACTTACACTAAACATTGACAAAACCTACTTCATTCAGTTTGGTAACAGAGCTACAGATGTCCCTCTTAACATAATGATAAACGGATCACCTATCACAAAGCTAACAGAGGAAAATTCTTAGGAATCCACCTTGATAATAGACTCAAATTTCATACACATATACAACAAATTTCTAAGAAAATTTCCAAGACCGTAGGCATACTATCGAAGATACGGTACTATGTTCCACAGTCAGCCCTCCTGGCCCTATATCACTCTCTTATTTACCCCTATCTCACCTACGGAATTTGTGCATGGGGCTCAACAACAATTAACCATCTCAGACCACTAATTACCCAACAAAAGGCTGCAGTTAGAATGATAACAAATTCTCACTACAGGCAGCACACTCCACCAATATTCAATACACTAAACCTACTCACCATACAAAACATCCATACTTATTACTGCACCTATTACATACATAGAACACTTAACTCTGATATTAACCCTCCCCTCAAACATCTCCTTGCCAACCTCAACAGAACACATGACCATAACACAAGGCACAGATCACTCTTTGATGTTCCTCGTGTTCATCTCACACTATGCAAAAACTCAATGCACATAAAAGGCCCTAAAATCTGGAATTCATTACCTGTAAATATAAAAGAAACACTACCTGTTTATAAATTCAAGTCTCTACTCAAAGATCACTTACTCACCCAAAACCAAATAAATACTGAATAACTTAACCTTATAAATTGTATATCTTAAATGTTTCTCACAATTATATCACATAAATGTTAAACCTAAAACCGAATCTAACTTTATTATTTTTTAAATACACTACCTAACAGAATCCTTCATATGACTGAATGCAACCATATGACCTGTCTTTGTAATACTCACTTGTGCTTTATAGTAATCTGTTTACATTAATGTTTTATCACTGACTTCATCATTGCTTAGTTAATCTTAAGTTAATTCTAAGCCAGCCCGTAATGCTATGCATAGTATAAGTGGCTTTGGCATGCTGCTCTTATCTGTATTTTTTTGTACCTCTGTATGTGTGCTCAAATTTATAATAAATAAATAAATAAATAAAAACTTCCTTCAGATCAGTGTTATAACTTGAATGCATTAATTAAATAGTCCCAACAGGATGTTTAGGAGTGGATGGAGATGAATGTTATAATTGTAAAGCACAATTTTATCATTCATAATGTGCATTTGGAGGTACTGTAAAGTACTCTAATGGTAATTATGTATAAGGAAATCCTGCCAGAGATTTATTTTTCAACTGTGCGTTGTTTAGTGGATAAGTGTGGCTTGGGTGGTGGCAGGTGGTCCGCATGGTATGAAGGCTGGCGTTGGAGACGCCATGTATTTAAGCTAAGTTTTGTAGTTGTGTACTCCTTTTGTTCAGCTAACTCAAGCCATAGGTTCTTCTATGTTTACCTGTATGCTCACCTAGGCTCTGACATGGTCAGGGTGCTGTGGGATGAGTGAGGAAATAAGAAATGGGGTCGGTATTGGAGTAGTGAAGGCCTGGCACTGGCTAGGCCGAGTGTTTGTGGTTGCTGGACCGCTAGCTGCCTGCTTCTTGTGCCCCGCTATTTGGGCGTTTAGGATATGAGATACATGACGGTGTTTTCTAGAGTGTGTATATAGTTATGACAAATAGATATACACCTACCATCCAACTTACGACCGAGTTTGGTTCCGAGAAACTGGTCGCAAGTCGAAATGGTCGTAAGTCGAACTTTACTACTGAATATCAACCAAACAATTTTGTAATGACTTTATTTTATTGTTTTATTTTGGTATTTCATGTTTTACTTTACTTTTTATGCTGTTAGTACTGTATTTTATACTGTAAGGTTTAGGATAAACACTGTGTACAACACAAATAGTTGTTTATTTCCCAGAAATTTGGCATAAAAAACACGGTCGTAAGTCGAGTGGTCGCAAGTCGAGCAGGTCGTAAGTCACATGGTAGGTGTATTTTCC